GGTGCGTGGAGTAACGTCAGTACGCCAACTCAGTAAGTAACAATAATAAATAAGGAACTGAAGATAGTGACGAGTTACACAGTTTTAGTTCATTTCAATAATTTTAGAAAGGAAAATAGTCATGCTTCCCAAGTTCCGATAAATTAAATCAAATCAGTTTATTTCAGGCAAGTTNAGTAAAATCAGATAAAAATATCTTTCAATAGTCTTCAAAATATGGATATAAGGCAATTGTGTACATCAATAATATAAGTATCTCTCAGTCCTCCCAATCACTCCAACCTCACAATCACTCATTCCTCACAATCACTCGACACTTGCACTTAGTAGGTACCTGCGCTCACTGGGGGTGTGCAGACTCCGAAGGGACTCCTTCAGCCCAAGCGCTATAACAAACCAATCATGGCATAAATCAATCAGGCACACAGCCTCACTCAGTCATAAATCAATAAAACATGTTGCGGTGTTCAGACTGATCCAATAAATATCCTCACAATCAGGCCCTCGGCCTCACTCAGTTATTAATCTCTCCAGCCGCTCGGGCTCTCAGAAATCAGAAAAATCAGCCCAAACAACAATAACATGAAGTATCAGATAGAATATAGAGACTGAGAAATGATATACGAGTAAAAACTATGATTGAGTACAAATAACATTTAATAGACAATTCAACATGTAACGTGACCCCTACGGGACCCAACATTGCCAACATATAGCCTAAACATAGTTTTTAACATGATTTACAGTCAATCTTTCATAACACATAGGCAGCATAGAGCTAACAGCATGTTGTTCAACTTTACAGTTTCTACGGGACGTACCAAGTGACAATCCCTTCGGTGCACACCCACACGCCCGTCACCTAGAATGTGTGTCACCTCCAAAAATAGTCACACAATGTTCGGGGTTTCATACCCTCAAGACCAGATTTACAACTATTACTTACCTCAATTTGAACAAAATCCTATTTCGCAATGCCTTTGCCTCTCGAATCAGCCTCCAAACGTCCTGAATCTAGCCAAAAGTAATACAATACAAGTAATATACGCTAAGGAACCAATTTCACAAGAAAAATTACTTAATTGGACACAAATCCCGAAATCGATTCAAACCCGGCCTCCGTACCCACGTCTTGAAATCCGACAAAAATTACAAAACTAGAAAGCTCATTCACTCACGAGTTTACCCATACCAATTTCATCAAAATCCGACATTATTTGGTCCTTCAATTCTCCAAATTACTCTCTCCAAAATTCCAAGTCTTAACCCCTTATTTCACTTCAAAAATCCTACTAATTAAGGGGGAAATCAATGGAAAAATACTGTAGCTAATGATAATAGAGCTCAAGCAACTTACCTTAGTGAAAACTCTTTAATCCACTTCAAAAATCACCCCAAAAGCTCCAAGATCCGACTTGAAAATGGTGGAAATGAGCAACAATTCGCGAGGCCTCCTTTTTATACTTTCTACCCAGTGAACCCGCACCTGCGTCCAGATCCCTGCTTTTGCGACGCCGCACCTGTAGAATTCCCATCACGGGTGCGAAAGTCACTTAAAAATCCAGACTCCGCATCTGCGGCAAAATCTCGCACTTGCGATTGCGCACCTGCGCATCTTCGTCCTCTTCTGCGGAACCAACCAACTTCCTTACTTCCGCATCTGCACCCCAGGTCTCGCAGATGCGCCTGCCTTCTCGCACCTGCGGTTCCAGCTAAAGTCCCATATGGCCGCATCTGCAACTCCTATGTCGCTCATGTGGTCTCGCACCTGTGTCTCCTACTTCGCAGGTGCGGACGACACCAGAAGCAGCAGTTGATCAGCTGTATTTCCAAGTTCCAAACTCCCCGTTACCCATTCGGAATCACCCCGAGCCCCTTGGGACCTCAACGAAACATACCAACAAGTCATATAACCCCATATGAACTTAGTCGAACCTTCGAATCACTCAAAACAAAATCAAAACACCAAATTACCCTCAGATTCAAGCCTAAGAACTTATATATTTAAAATTCCGACCGATTTCGGTCGGCATTTGAAAATTAAATAAAAAAATTTAATTAATAATGACTGATTTCGTTCGGTAAATGCAGTTTGGTGTCAGTCAACACATTGAATAAACCGACAGTTTTTGGTCGGAAATTTTCGACTAATTTCGGTCGCAACACGTTAGCGACCATCATTTTTCCTACTAATTAAAAGTGGTCAAAAATCGGTCGTTTTTTTTCAATTTCCAACCGATTTCGGTCGGTTCTCCTGAACGAATTTAGCCAGTTTTTTAGTAGTGTATATGGTCAACTTAATTAAGTGGATATATATATTTGGTGCGGATAAATTTTTATCATCGCGGATAAGTGACTTACTATCACATGTTAAACAATATTGATAATATAAAAATAAAATTACACACTCAATATATATGACTTAAATCCTTGATAAAATTCCGTAAAAAAAATGCAAGATTCCAATTTTATTCATCTTTATTTTTCCGTCCTTCCTTCCCTAGCCACTCACAACTCAAGAAAAAAAAAGGTCGAGACTCGAGATCATGGTTTAGTGGGATTTCTAAAAATATAGTGTAGATGTAATCATCATCACATATTTCCATTTCTCGCAACATCACTCAATATCAACTTAACACCCAAACTTAAACTACTTTACAGGTAATGCCATAACCTGCATCGAATAATTATCATCCTTATCTCGCCTTCATTCATTTCTACGTTACCCTCTACTGTTTGGTCATACATTACCAAGTTGGGAATTCCATATATGACCCTTTACGTAACCTATAGAGAGAAACATACCCAAAGATTTTTTTATTTTTTTGGGGGGTTGGGGGGTGGGGGTGGATTTCATTTCCAATCAAACTAAATTAATTTGCGTGCATTTTATTTGCTTAAGAAACCATGTATATCTAATCTTTCTAGAAGTCCATCTTATGGTCTTTGTTTGGAGCTCACTCAAGCTATAATCGTGCTATGATTTGAACAGCCTCCAAAAATTAAACAAATTCCAGTGTTGTTGGTAATCTAATTCTCTCTCGATCTTATATAAGCCACTATCTCCATTTCACGGCTCTAACTATTTAAAATGGTTTTATAAAATTATTAATCAAATTCTTAGTTGATGAAAATCAAATGAAAGGAATTAACTATGTTAATCCTGTTAGAATATACTATAAGCCATGCGTATTGTTATAGTATTCTTTATGAACAATTATTTATTTACTTGTTTAAATTCAATAAAGTTTCATTTTAAATAGATCATGTGTTGGTTTGTGCGTCCATTGCTTACATAGTAGATGATTTAGTGTATAGAGTTTAGCTTATACACGGAAGATTAAATCATCGGTTCTTGTAAGACATAAAAGTTAATGTTCACAATCTAATGATGGAATTGGACAAATCATCGGAATGATTGTAGCACAAGATTAAATATAATTTATCTTGATTATGGGAATGGTTTAATTCCAACTTCTTGTGCTAGTACATTTTGTATGTATTGAACGGATCAAGTAGAGATGAGTATTTTATACTGACTTTATAAAATAATTTCTCTAGTCCATTTAATGTACTTATACTCTTAATCCTGATATAATTATTATTAGCTGTGTATGTCACTTGTTGTTTTGATTTATTAAAAGGCGAAATTCTTTCGCAAGTCAATAAGCCTGGTAAATTGAATAACAATGATATACATTGGCGAAGTAATAATTAGTTGATGGAATCCATGTCTCGATTTTGAGATTGATGATACTCCTTTATGAAAGCTTATAAGTTTTCATGTGTAAACCCGGCCGGTGGATTTTGTATCCGACACATGAAATAAGTTAAGTGTAAGTCTAAAGGAAGTAATCAATAAATTAAATAGTCAGTAATTTAATTTGATTGATTAGTATCTGAATCTTAACATGGGGAGTTAAATAAGGTTTTATGGAAGAATTTCGAAATTGAACTAAGGAGTGCAATTACGAATTTTTAGTGGAATAATTCGTAATTTATTATGATGGAAATTAGTTTCAGAATTTCGAAATTAATATCATAATAGGAAGCCTTGTTAATTAAATTCAGTGGTCCCTATTGTGCCTAAATAAAAGAAAATAGTGGAAACTGTTACTTAGTGGGAAAGAAAACGTGGAAATCGTCCCTTAGTGGGAGAAGGAAACCTAACAGGTTTTGAAAACGGTTTTGACCTAAAAAACGCAGCTATATATATGGATATAAGGGCTGGACGTTTTTTTATATGATTCTGACTGCGGTTTCTACTAGAATTTTGCCCACCCAAAATTCTCTATTTTCGGTTATTGTTTGGGTAACACAGTAGAAGACTGTGGAAATCTGCTAATGTGTTTTCAACTGAGGAACTGGAGAACGACATAGATTTCTTGTGTTTACGCTTCAAGAGATAATCCTAAAATCTCCATACGTGCTAGTTGTTTAGATTACACGTGAATAAGATTCTGTTATTGCTTCCGCTGTGGTATATATTCCAACAAATCCGAGTGCCATCTATTAATGATATGTAATAGTACTCCGTTCATTTCAGTTTATGTAGGACTATTTCTCTTTTAATCCGTTTTAAAAGTATAGCAATATTTTTCTTCACTCTTAATGACAAGTTTTTATTGTCATGTAAATGTTATGACATATACAAGTTTCAAAAGTCCAAATATTATGCCACATATGTTGAAACAGAGAGAATAGAATTATACGCATACTTTAAAATTTTGAATGCGATTTTCTAGTGGAAATTACATTTTTTTATATCACATGTTACCTAAAAATAACTATAAATAACTTTTACAAAGAGTGAAATTAATAACCTAAGTCGTGAATAATCCACTTACATATAAAAAAAACTTTACACTATCTAAATCGTGAATAATTGCCCCTCAAAGAAAGCAAGACAATTAGTTAGAGGGTTAGTTGGAACACCGAGGTCATTTTGGTACTTACACACACCTAGCTCGGTGCATAAAATGATGTTGCCTCAGCATGCTTTGATGCCACAACCAAATTCTTGAGAAGGCTCATTCAACTTCACTTTTACACCCACTGAAATTAATCTCTACTTTCCAAATGGCTGAGAAAAGCAAAGTTCTGATCATTGGAGGAACTGGATATATTGGAAAATTTGTAGTAGAAGCAAGTGCAAAATCTGGACACCCCACCTTTGCTTTGGTTAGAGAGAGCACACTTTCTGACCCTGTTAAGAGTAAAATTGTTGAGAATTTCAAGAATTTGGGTGTCACTATTCTTCATGTATGTATATATAGTGCATTAATTCTTTCTTTTTATGCAAAACAAAATGTGGAAAACGAATATTTCTAATACAAGGTAGGGGTAAGATTTGCGTATATTCCATCCTCCCCAAACTCCACACATGGGATCACACTGGACTTGTTGTTGTTTGTTGTAAAATGAGGAAAAATAATTGAAATAAAATTTTACATGCAAGTAATTGTAAATTTCTTGTTTTGAACAGGGTGATTTATATGATCATGAGAGTTTGGTGAAGGCTATAAAGCAGGTGGACGTGGTAATATCAACAATGGGGATGATGCAATTGGGTGATCAAGTTAAGCTCATTGCTGCTATCAAAGAAGCTGGAAATATTAAGGTACTAAATGGTTCTTATTTTTAAATATTTTAGGATACATTTAGCATAAGTACTCCGTCATTTCTATCTGTTAATGCTCATTCATAGTACTTTGATACCAAAAAAAAAGGGCAGCCGCTATGCGTGGGGTGCGGAAAAGGGTCCGACATTGTACGCAACCTTACTCTATATTTCTGCAAGATTTCTGCAAGAGGTTGTTTTTACGAACTGGTGACCTTTTGGTCTAATGGCAGCAACTTTACCACTACTTTGATACAATTAGCCTGTATAACATTTGAACAAATATAACACAAGAAGTAATGTAGGTCAAAGGATAATAAGGGAATCTTGATAACTAAGTTGATAAAAATTCTTAAATTTATAGATTGCATTTGAATTAGAGAATCTAAACTTGATCGATATGCCCCATCACATGATACCTCAAATTAAGGGTGTTAGCCTCCTTGAATTAACACATCAAATGAGTTAATTTCCTAAAATGGTCCGAATTTTCAGTCTGATTTTTCAGGCAACACCAGTTTTACATAATGTTTATGGAAATAAATTATCTCATACTTAAATTTTTCAGAGATTCTTCCCTTCGGAGTTTGGTATGGATGTTGATAAGACCAATGCTGTGGAACCAGCAAAGTCTGCATTTGCTGTGAAAGTTCAAATCCGCAGAGCTATTGAAGCTGAAGGAATTCCTTATACTTATGTCTCATGCAACTGTTTTGCTGGTTATTTCTTACCAACTATGGTCCAGCCTGGTGCCACTGTTCCCCCTAGAGACAAAGTCATCATTCCTGGGGATGGAAATGTTAAGGGTACGCGCAAAAAAGTTCTTATCCCCGCGACACTAGTGTTGGTTGGCGACTCCATTGATTTGTATGTCTCATTTTTGTATACTGTCTGTTTGTTTGTTTGCAGCTGTATTCAATGAAGAACATGATATTGGCACTTATACTATTAAAGCTGTTGATGATCCGAGAACGTTAAACAAGACCCTCTACATTAAGCCTCCCAAAAACACGTTATCGTTCAATGAGCTAGTGGCTATGTGGGAGAAAATGATTGGAAAAACTCTGGAGAAAATCTACATTCCAGAGGAGCAAATTCTCAAAGACATCGAAAGTTAGTTATCTTATCATCTCTCTTTAATTTAAGATTGTTCATTCAATTTAGCATTGGTGATCCTGATGTTGTGTATATTGTATACTGTTGCAGCATCTCCAATGCCATTGCCTGTTATACTAGCAATCAACCACGCAACATTCGTGAAGGGTGATCAAACCAATTTTAAGATCGAGCCATCATTTGGGGTTGAGGCCTCGGAACTTTATCCAGATGTCAAGTACACCACTGTGGAGGATTACCTTGGTCACTTTGTCTAAAGTTTACACGTTTAATGTCTCCGATCACTCGAATAAATTGTTATACGATGGGTGTTGTCAAAACATTTTGTCTTGATTTGTGAGTGTATGTAACCTACGTGACCGGAGACTTGGTGAATGGTCTGTTTTAAGCTTATATCTGTTTTCAATATCATCTAAGTATATTATGAAACTACAAAAAATGGAAAACATTGGTGGATTTTTGCTTTTGCATTATTGTCTACCTTCTTGTACCGACTCTTCATTCAGAGCGATGCGTGCCACCTATCCCCGTCATTAATTCAATTAAGAACCTATGCAATAGTATCGCGATCAAAGAGCTGACTAAGGGAATGGGCGAATACATAGGAGCGGAAAATGTTGTCAATTTGGTATGATGAAATAATGAGGTCTTACCCTACCATTATCATGCTTTAGTAATACTCCAGGAAGTTCTTCTCTGCTTTTGCCAACTAGTTATTAGGTAAACCCTCCAACTTTAGGTGCAACAGTGTATGCTTCATTCTAGACTGGATCATGATCCTTTCATAATTAGAGTAATTTTTTGTCTGAGGGTGACAAGACTTTTCAGCAGCAACAGTGTTAGGATGATTAGACATGAAGTAAACTTGAAGATTAATAAAGAAGTCACAAATAAAGGAAAATAGGATTCAGAATATTTAGCTAAAAATTAAAACCAGCCAAAATTTCTTTGAGGCATAGAGTCCCTTTAAACAAACTTCTTTGGCGTTGCTTTTGTTAATTATTCTGCTGCCTCAAAGGCTAAAACCTTTAACTTCTTTTTACTCAAAGTTCATCAGTCCCCATATATTGCCATTATTGTTATGTGGTAGAGAAAAATTAAATGGAAAAAGAGGGAGAAATAACAAATTATGTACTTTAATTAATGGAATTGTTGCTGTACCTTCTTTAGATATATTTACGAATCATAGCGTCCACTCTAACCCCTCCAATAATGCAAACACGACCCTATCTCAATATCAAAGTGAAGCTGCCTTAACAATTTGGAAAATGGCACTAAATTTCTGCAACCCGAAAAGGAGTCCTCACTCATCAATGACTACATGCTCGGATCCGCCAAAAATATCGCCACATCGGTGTCAGATCCTCCGAACATGCACTACTTCAGACACAGGTATGAAAGATATTTTTGAGGGCCTGAACTACATAACTTATAAATAATAACTCTCCCATAACCTCCCTCATCCACGTGTCGGGGCCGGAAATGGCCCCAACACTGGTGTTAATAGTGGCATCGACTCTTCCCGTGGCGGTGCCGCCGCAACTAGCGCCCTCCTTGGCAACAACTCCATCACTTTGCCATCCTTTATTCTCTCCTTTAAGTCACCTGCAAAAGAGAGATTAATAACTCCAAACTTTATATGACCGGAAGTGATGAAACATTTTAATAATATCCTTACTTGTGTGTTTGATAACAAAAAACTCCCCATTGGCTTTAGCAGAAGCTGACAAACGGACAAGAACAGGTGTAACAATGGTGAGAACAGCCCAAAAGAATAAAATCAAAATAAAAGTTCTCCCACTCATTTGATAGAGAATTTTCAGAAAGACATTAAAATGAAGGATTTTATGTAGTAAGCAAAACTGTATGTAGTTTGGCTTAGGTACTACAAGAAGACTTTTAATTACTTAGCTGGCCATGTTTTAGGAACAATTGCATTGATGACTATTCCAAACTACTACGAATAATGCCCAATTGGACGTCTATGATTTGTATAAATAAAACCCCATTTTGTAATAAAAGTCACACACTATGATGATAATCTTGTTAATTTCTCTGTTTCGGTTGTTAGGAAGTTGTTACACCGTACCACTTGTGTGTTTATAATTAAGTATTCACATGGCATATCATATCCTTACTCATACAGCGCAGTTTATCAACTCATTTTAGCCCAAAATCATCTTATCTTCGAAATTTCCCCTTCAAATTAGGCACATACTGTTATGTTAGTTAAAGAGTCAATGAGAATTGAACAGACACCTTTGACACTAAGCACAGGGTGTAGTGGACTTCTATATGCACTTTCAAGGAGTCCGAAACCTAAATGTGGTTTTTTTTTTACTCAAAATACGTTTTTAAGTGTTAAAAAAGTTACCTTTCTGAAGCAATAAACAAAATGAAAACAACGTTTTAGGTCAAAAACGTATTTTTTTAATATTTAAAAACGTATTTTAAGTCAAAAAGAACCACATTTAGGTTCCGGACTCTTCCAAGAAGCAACTTCTTCTCAAAAGCAAATTGAAAAGACAACTCGGTGCACAAACTCCCACTGTGAGCAATCCCGAGGATGGCTGGACCACATAGAGTCGGTTGTATGTAGTCCCAACTCATGCCTAATATTTTTGCAATAGACTATTTTTAGGGTTTAAACCCAGTTTCCTGGTCACAAAGTGACAACTTTTATCCTTGCGCCTATCTCCTTTTGCAAGAACAAATACATGGGTGAAATTTAAATGACTGAGTTCTCTTCCTAGTTTGGGTTCTAAATGTTTCCAAACTGCTGACAACAATAACAACGGCCAGTGAAATTCTACTAGTGGGATCTGAGGAGGATCGTGTGTACGCAGACCTTACCCCTACCGCTGACCTTGAAACAAAATATTGAAGGAGAAAGAAAACAGTTTTGCTAGTTAAAACGCAGCAATCTACTGCTAAAAATAATTGACAAGGGAATCCTACGAGGGACACCTTCCCCGAAAATTACAGTGTATATATAAGATCACCCACTGCATAATGCATACAAGGGACAAAAGAAACAGAGTCGTCCAATTATATCAAATCAATGACATTTAGCAAATTCATAATTGAGGAAGATGCTAGTAATTTTCTACGCTCTTATCTCCTGAGTAGTGAGTAGTGGAGGATCATCTGGAAACAAGAAAACTCTGCATAGTTTGTCATGGCAATTACAAGATGCAGAAAACCATACATTTTCTATTAAAACATGGCGCTAGAGTAAATAGCAAATTAGTATAACAAGGGTTATTGAGATAGTATTACACTCTCTAATCTTTGGATGGTTAAGAATGAGAAGGGAGAGTAATCATAAACTTGACATAGTACTAAAATTAATTTAATAAATAAGCAATTACTTATTTGGACATAAATGCTGAAAATGATGTTTGCTGAAAAAGTAATGATAAATATCCTTAATAAAAAGCTTATTAGAAATAACTTTACTTTTAGTTCCAAAGTAAAGCCCTCAGTGGGGAGATACCAAGTACAATTATTTTCAATAATCAAATACTCCTTTTGGATTTGGGAGGATAATTCAACTGGAAATAAATCCAAGTTATTCTAAGTGGTCGTTTGGTACACGAGATAAGATGAGATAAAGTGTGGTATTAAACTTTGGACCACATATTTGGTTATCTATCCTGAATATTCCATCTTATTTCATTTAATCCTGGGATTATAATCCGGAATAATTTAGTCGCCATACCAAATTATTATATTCCTAAAAGTAAGAAAAATCTTAAAAATTGCTAAACATGCCCCCCTTAGAAAAAGAAGAAAAAAAGTCAATCAATCTCTTAACGGAAAGGAAAAAAGGAAAAGCCAAATTGCCAAATTTGCCCTTTGGAGGCCCAAGGCAAATTGGTACCCTTCATTCTGCCCTACCAATACTTCCTGAATCCGTCATTTCTCACTCTCTCTTGTGTAGGCTGTAGCTAAGCCACAACACAAACAGCTTGACTGCATAACCCACTGATCAAATAGAGGGCAAAACGAAGACGAAGGAGAGTCGAAGTTGAAAAATGGGAACCCTTGGGAAAGCAATTTACTCCCTAGGATCCATCGTTCGAGCGACCGGCCAAGCCCTTGATCGCGTCGGCAATCGACTTCAAGGCAGCTCCTACTTAGAGGAACACCGTAATTATCCCTTCTTCTTAACCCTAGATCTCATTTCTTCTTTACCGTTGTTTTTACTTGCATATCGTGTCACTACATCATCTATGTTTGTTTATGTTAATTGCATTTCATCCAGTTGCGCTTAATTAGTATTCCTCAATCTAAAAAAATGGTTAACACATCTGGCTTTCGGAGTGAGGACATTTAGGAAGTTGTATATAATTTTAATAAAATTTGCATATTCAGAGGTTATACGAACAATCAAACAGGAAAAAAAAAGACTATAAATCTCAGCCTTTTAGATGAAGATAAAATCTAGTCAAACGAATATTGTTTGACTCCTCATATAGTGCAAGTACTCTTCTTCTTGAGACAGTTTGAATCCTCATCGGAGTTCCTACCAAAAAAGAATTAGAATAGGGCGGAAAAGCCTTTTGGAATGGGTTTTATAATGGAAGTTCTAATGTGTATTTGAATGTTATATTCAGTAGTTTTAGTTAACGGATGATATGTGCAGACAAAGAACAAGTGGATGAAAGATGTAATATGTAAGAATGCAGGTGTAATGAGCTGTAAATGTTTGAGATGTTTCAGACTATATGATAGCAAAAGTACTTGCACGATATTTGAAGCGTAAGTGGTGTTATCTATTGTCAATGCAAACCTGTTTTGCTGGTAGAATTAGCTACTTTCTTAGAACTTGTTTGTTCATAGACATTAGTTCACCCTATTCTAGCTGCATATTAAAGCAGATTTTCAAGGACAACTGGTGCTTACAAGAAATAGACTTTAGGCAGTTTATATCCCGCCAATAATTTATCAGAATCATATATTTCTGCCTAGAAATGGAGCAAGGATCACGAAGTTGGTTTCAGAAGGACTTGAAGTTGAGATTTCGGTGCCCATTCTTGCTAGCCTCCATTCTGACTTGAGAACTTGATTGCTATCCTAGTTGCTGCATTCCCCCTTCTAGTATACATAATGTGCCTACTTAGGAGCAGGATGTGCTATGCAACATGAAAAAATATCCATTTCATTGTGACTAACTATTAGTCTACGGCAACTCCTACCTCTCTCTCCTTTATCTTATAGTCCTCCAGTAGTTTAGAGTCCTATATTCTTTTAACCTAGTTATATTTGAAGGGGCCAAAAAAGACATATCTTTTCATCTTCTATATCTCCCAAGCTGGCCCCTCTCACCCCCACCCCCCCACCCCCAAAAGGAATTATAAATGAGTGCGTAGAAATCAATTTAGCTAATGAAGCAGGAAACTGGATTTGGATTTTGTGCAAACCAGGTAACTTTAAACAGATTGCATTATATTGACAAATGCATGTTGAACATAGACTAACTGATAGTCACGTCATGTTGGCTAACCTCTCACCAACCATATGCCTACCAGAGAAGTTACTTGGCACTTTTTGCTAAACAGATCAACCTATAGACTGCTGAATTTTGTTGAGTACTGATGACAGGCAGTTGTATGCACTTTTCTCTCACTGTATGTGTGTCTATTCAGTATCAGATGCTAGTGTGTATGAACTCCTAGGTCATAGTTGAGTATAACCAATGCATTATTGTCAAATTATTTATTTTACATCTGAAGTGCTCCAGTTACGCCTCACTCGTCCTCCATGAAACAATTTTCCTTTACCTTTCCAAACCCCCTCCCCTCTTCCTAATTGAAGAAGAAAAAAGAGGATCCATGATTTGGCCTTCTAGTATTTAAACTCCTTTTGCGTGGTTATGGTCTTATGTTGTTGTCATTACTTCTATTGTTTTATGTCGATGGTACTGATATATTATCGCTCTTTTTGCCTTCTTGAGCCGAGGGTCTTCCGAAAACAGCCTCTCTACCCCCTTGGGGTAGGGGTAAGGTTTGCGCACACTCTACCCTCCCCAGACCCCACTTGTGGGATTTTACTAAGTTGTTGTTGTTTCGTGGTTAAATTTTGGTCTTATGCTCGGTTATTTACACCTTCTATGTTTCAGTGTCTAGGCATCGAACTCTTATGAACATACTCGATAAAGCTCCGGTGGTGGATAAGGATGTGTTTGTGGCTCCAGGTGCCTCAGTCATCGGAGACGTACACGTGGGACGGAATTCATCTATTTGGTATGGATGTGTGTTAAGAGGTAGGTTATCCCAACATTGTTGTTGGATGGTGCACTTGACCGTTGATTCTTCCTGTTCATTTTTTTGGTTTTTTTTTTTTTTTTT